CGAAATAATAAGCTTACCACGTTACTATTTACCTCACGAACGGCACAAGTATTCACTTTCAGTCCACTCCAGCGTGTTTCATCGTCGATCTTGTACTCATGTATAAGGCAGTTACGGGAGATTGCGCCCATAAGTCGGTCCCCAGAGGTGCCTGGGCTTTTAAACGGTGCTTGTGTTGTTAATATGGTAAACAACTACGCATTTTCATTCCACTGACTGCTTATTGGGAGCTGGTAAATATTACGACGCAACGGCCAGGTAAATGATATGTTACAGCTCAACTATGCATTTAAACTTTTATACGGTTCCGAAAAGGTCTACTCTGAAGGATATAAGGTCGCGCATTAGGTTAGTCGGAAATTAAACAACGCATCGTCTGTAAATTAGGGGAGAATTCAAAGGCAGTGTCGATTAGCCTTAAATATGCCGAAGTAACAAACGCCAAAGCAAGAATTCAAACAATGTGCGAGGGCTGGAAGAGAAAGCCTTACCGGGTCAGGGTGAGAGGACGCAGATAAATGCCGGACAACTCGTCGAATAAGTGCACGGGCTTTTTGGTGGGCTTCTGTAGTACAACCTACAAATTAAGTGAGAGAAAAGTGGATATAAGGATGAGAAGTCCCTACATGATAATCAATCGCGGTTCAGGAATATGTTTAAATTGACAACTCAAAGACTCTACTAGTCAGGGTAGTGAACAAAAAAAAACAGAGACAATTGCGCTTTCTTGGTGAGGCAAGTGTCTTCTTAAAGTTTAAAAGATCAACTAAGAACAAAAAGAAAAAAATATAAGCTAACCACCGAGCCTAATTTCACCGAGGGTAGGATTCGCGGACGCGCTGTCTAGATGTAGGGGCAGCAAACGTGAAACGAGGTTGGAGCAGAGGTGAGACAGCTGGGACGCGCAGCGAGCGATATCGTCTTTCAGCACGGCAACCACCTTAGACAGAGGGAAGGAACCGGAGGTCAGGCCAGGTAGGGTTTATTAAGAGAAATCAAGGCAAACGCCTTTGCAGGCACACAGCAGTTAAGAAATGCATCGGTACAGCAAAACATCTCAAAAGAGGTCGTTTATATGATTGCAGTCGCAAAGCGAGCAGACGCCGTTTGGCTCAGAAAAAGTAAACATACACGACTACTCACTTGTTTCAAGTAATATAATCACATGTGTAAGCATTAATCTGGTATCAAGGCTTATTGGCGATGCCAGTTGACACGAGCCAGCAGGTGTAACAGCAAAAAAAGCATACCGGAAAAAAACTCCTTGGGCATGGCTCAGAAATTCTAAATGTTGAAATACCATTTCAGGCAAAAAAACTGTCGCTAGTAAGAGTAAAGCATGTGCGAGACAGGAACGCCATACTGCTGAGAATGAGGCAAGCCAAGTACCTTTATCCTAGGGGACACACGAGGAACGGAGGATTTACAGCTGTCGAGGTGATAACTGAAACCTACAAGGGTAGCCATCAAAACACAACGGTCGCTACTCAGTTCCTTCCATCAAACTGAAAATTCCGGTACGCAAGGCGACAGCGTAAGGACGCGGTCATCCTTCTGTGCCATACCTTTGATGCCCAATATTTCAGTGATCCTGCCCCCGAATGCAAATACGACCGAAGATGTTACGCTGTTACGTCTGACAGTATGTGAGGGCGTATCAGAGACTTATTAGTTACGGGCTGTAGCCCCTCTCGTCTACAAGTCCCGCT